CCCCCCCCCCCCCCCCCCCCCTGCCCTCCCCTTCAGGCGCAGCATGTGTCGACACTCAGGGGGCCTCTGCTGCTACTTGAAGTGTAAACCGTTTTAAGCAACAGCTTCATCATCAATCTGAGAGACGTAAATACGGTCGGGGCTGTTGAGTCAGGGGAAAAACAGGTAGAGGCCGGGTGGCAGATGGAGCGGTGCAACAACACATAATTGCTGCAGTATAGCTGCCAAGTTGCAGGCAAGTAGTAAGACTTCCTAATTGCTTCTTGATGTTTTTTTTGGTGTGTGTCTGTTTGTTGTCCCCCGCAGGTGAAAGTGTGGTTCCAGAACAGGAGGATGAAGTGGAAGAGGGTGAAGGGCGGCCAGCAAGGGGCGGCAGCTCGGGAGAAAGAACTGGTGAATGTGAAAAAGGGGACGTTGCTGCCGTCAGAGTTCTCCGGCATCGCGGCGCTCCACCACTCGACGGACTCCTTAGCCAACGAGGACAGTCACGACAGCGACCAGAGCTCCGAGCACGCTCACTTATGATGCACAACCCCCCCCCCCCTCCCCCCTCAGAGGACAGGCCCTGCCTCAGGACCGTCCTTAGAAGGACTGCTGTTTGCTGATTCGCCCATCGTCATGCAACGATGCTAAATAAGTGTACAAATATACAGAGGAGTGACGTGTGGTAAGATAATACAGCCAGCATGCAGGCAAAATGTAAATTTGAAGAACTGAGCACATAAAGGGGGAGGTGGACATGTTTCAAAAGCGCCATTGGTTAAAATTGCCCTTGATAAAAAGCCAAAACTAGATAATATCAACATTGAAATGTGATGTTTTTGGATCGCCCAAAACACTGAGTATTGCATCACATTTTGGAAATCATACTTAGTCAAACTGTTGTAAACATTCCGCGTTGTGTGCCTTGAGAGAAGCAGGCCTTGATTTGCGCTGTTGAGCACACAGTCTCAGACTCGGTCAGTTTCTACTGTACAGAATGTAAATTACGATGTAATTGAGTTACTGATCAAATCAAGTGCCAGGAAATCAAATTTGCCTCGCTAATATAAATGATCTGTAAATAATTCTCTGTATTGTCTTACCTTAACGATAATTTTATACCTACACTATTTCAGCTCTCGCAGTAATAAACACTGACAGTTCTTTGGTCAACACTTTTCTGCCTGGAGATGACATTTTGTAAATCTGAAACCTGAAATAAGCATTTTATTAAATCCTTTCAGGGACAGTTGCAGATCGAATAAACTTTAACCAATGGTAAATGGAATGCAACATGATTCGATAACATTTTTTTCTCTCCCATCTGTGCAGCCGTCCGTTCATATGTGTGTGTTGCATGAAGTGAAGCTGAAATGAATTAAACATTGCAGAGAGAGTGTAGAAAGCCGGTGACGGGGGGTTGCATGCTAAATTCACCTTAGCCTCGGGGCATGGGTCGGGACTCCTGCCAAGACTCGGAGAGAGAGAGAACCCGCAAAGGATCGGATTCTGTTACAAAATCCAGTTGAAAATAATTTCTTGACTCGATCTCATCTTTCACCACATTGTGATTGTGCATTCTAATTTTTTTGAGGAGGCACCTCATGCAGCATGTGAGGGTTTTAATTTATTTTTTCTCCCCCCCCCCCCAAAGCAAACCACAGGGAAGAAAGTGATCCCTTCTTCTTTTTTTAGTACTCACAAAAATGGAGAAAAATCACTTCTTCTACTGAGCTTCAATAATCTAACAAACTATAAACTTTTCCAAACATAGGTCACTGCTTGTTTAATAAAAAACATAAAAGTGTGCAAATTTAGCTCAAAACCTGTGCAGTTAATTTCATGTGTGAAGAAACAGTCAGCTGTCTTGCTTTAACTCATGACCTACAGGCCAGTGTCAGAGAGTCGTGTAAGTACAATAACACACTGGCACTCTATCTTTATGATCTCCATGATAATCAAAGTCATTAATGTTGACGTTTTATCTTGCCAGAGATTTGACAGCTAACAGCACACAAGTTGAAATGTGTCAATCAGGTGAGCGTTCCTGTGGAAGCACAGTATTCATGTTAGGATTTAATTAAGTATGAATGTACACTAACAGGTAAAACTGTTTTCTACCACTGAACTATATCACACCTTTAGTCTGTCCTTGAATCCTACCCTCACCGAAGCAAAGAGCAGATATTTGGCTGCGTAACTCGGCTTCATATCTGTTCTGTATCTGATTTGGCTAATCTAATTTGCGGTGGCTGACAAAACTGGCTCAAAGGTCAGTTTCACCAGAATCCTTCGTCTCTTTGACCGTTTTTACCAAAGGACAAACAATATGAAGTTGTGTGTATGTGTGAGTGCAGGCAAGTCTAGAGAGTCAACAGGGCACCGTGTCAAGATAGGCTGTTCTCATACGGCGATCGTAGCTATTCCTACAAAAAATGAATGCACTGTAATTTACAGATATGCCACAAAAGCCAATTTTATGTAATCCACGTAATCATTAACCAGGAAGTATAAAACCGCAGAAACCTACACTGGCTGGGCGGGAGGGGTCAAACAAATGCGGGTCTTTCTCCCCCTGTGTGAGAGGAGAAGTCATTGTTGAGTCATTCGTCACGTAACTTCTGTACTTAAATAACGATAACTTTAAACCCACGTAAACCCAAACCATGATCCTTTCTGAACCTAACTACGTTTTGTTGCCTAACTAAGTAGTCCACGATCGTTTCCTAAACCTAATTAAGTTATTTCACGATCTTTTTCTAAACCTAACTAAGTATTTCATGATCTTTTCCTAAACCTACGTTAAGTATTTCACGATCTTTTCCTAAACCTAAGTATTTCACGATATTTTCTTAAACCTAACTAAGTATCTCGCGATCTTTTCCTAAACCTACATAAGTATTTCACGATCTTTTCCTAAACCTAAGTATTTCACGATATTTTCTTAAACCTAACTAAGTATTTCACGATCTTTTCCTAAACCTAAGTATTTCATGATATTTTCTTAAACCTACATAAGTATTTCACGATCTTTTCCTAAACCTAAGTATTTCACGATCTTTTCTTAAACCTAACTAAGTATTTCACGATCTTTTCCTAAACCTAAGTATTTCATGATATTTTCTTAAACCTACATAAGTATTTCACGATCTTTTCCTAAACCTAAGTATTTCACGATATTTTCTTAAACCTAAGTATCTCACGATCTTTTCCTAAACCTACGTAAGTATTTCACGATCTTTTCCTAGACCTTACTAAGTACGTATGTCACGATATTTTCCTAAACCTAACTGAGCTGTTTCCTGTGAAGACGGAAGTTTATTTTGAAAAGACCGTATGTATACAAATTTGCCGTACAACATCCTCCGTCCATGGACCTTTACATTGGATAAGGAAAAACGTCCAGTTTCAACGAACAGTAACAGTGAAACATGAGACAGTCAAAACTCAACAATAAAATATATTATTTTTGTTCATGAACATGAAGTTAACTGTCTGAAAAAAGAAACGCAATGATTGCGCTATAGACCCTTTTACAGCCTCCGTCATCAGAAATATGCGTGCACATGTTGGCATTGGAAATGGCATTTTGCCACAGCCATCCAGACGAGCTAGCAAGCTTAAAAACATAGAATTAAAACAGTTGACAGCATCAAAATGTCTGGTTGTTGGCGTGTTCGGTTGTCAGAATCGATCACGAACCTTAACGAATCACCGTGTTAACTTGTGACTTTCGTGTCCAGTTGTTGCGCATATAGTAACTAACTTAAATGGTTGGTGTAGATAATAACCACAGATGAGCCTGTGTTTAAAATAGTTTGAGGACATCTACATGATGTTTGTGTTTTCAACAGTTGCAGTCACTAGAATACTCGTGTTCGAGTCTATGTCATGGTGTTTGATGTTCCGTACATGACCTCGGACAACGTAGCTGGAAGCATCTCGTGACTTGTATGCTCATGATTTTAATTTAACGATAGTTATCAATTTGCGGCAGTTATGTACACGGCTAAAAAATACAATTAAAGTAATTTAAGGACGTGAAAAATCTTTGCTGGTCGACTTGTGACTGCTCTTGTTTTTTATCCGAATGTACGGACATAGCAAGCATATACTATATGATTCACATGTCCACAAACATGTCATAAACAATGCCTTGACCTAATATAGAGCCACCCTGGAAGTTATTATTTAATCATAGTATTTCTATAAAAACGCCTTTTTTTACACATAGTACTGGAAATTATCTTCGCTTTGCAATATCACATAGGAAATGATCAGAATTGGTAATTTTTAAAATTATCATATCTAATTAAAAATAAGTTTGGTATCACACATCCCAACACCACACAGGGAAACCACAAACTCTGCAAGCTCTCACGAGATAAAAGTCACACGGAACGGGTCACCAGTTGAAGCACCGAGCCTGACTGAAGATGACCTCGCCTCCTTTGATATAAACGAAGCAGGACTTTCGGGTAAACGGTCACAAAGTGACTGTTCCCTTCTGTCCAGCCCGCAAGCTGACTGACCTACCTGCAGCGGAGAGAAAAACAAGTGCGGATAGAGGATCTCTACAAGGAACGCCCCCACCTTAGAGAGAGTTAAATACCTGCACAGGTAACAGACGCTCACCGGAAGCAGCGGTGCGCACGGTGCTGTGTGTGCGAGTGCCAATGGCTGAAGCTGTGGAGCCCGGCTATTCGTCGGTGGGATTCCGGTCCATGTTTTTCATGCTCACGATGAACGAATCATCCTATCAGAAATTGGAAGATGTACCTCAGTATGTGCAGCAGGTGGGTACAGTTCTCAGTCTCACTCGCTTCCAGCAGTATGCGGTGATTTGTTGTTTGTGTCAAAGTCGAACGAGGTCTCCCTCCTCCGCGTGAGGCACCTCAGGGCACCTTTACTGTCACTCAAGGGTGGAGGACGCAGTATCCTAAAACTAATAAAACCACGTTACAAACATACGCAAGTGCTACATTTAATAGATCTCAAAAAAACAAGTTTGCAAGTATCAACTCGAGCTGCAAAGATTTTAATTAATCGATTATTCAGTAATCGTTTTGATAATTGATTCAGTGTTTTAGGAACTTTTCGAGCATATTCTTCTAAAACATTCAGTGCTCCAAGCTGCTCAAATGTGAACATCTGTTGCTTTTGTTTGTCCCATTTGCACCACATGAATGTAAAGTACTTTATAACTGTACTAGAGTGCAAATGTGAGGTACTTGAGTAGCCTACTTAAATTGTATGCAGCTTTATGCCTCTACTAGGATAAGATAAGATAATCCTTTATTAGTCCCGCAGTGCGGACATTTACAGCATCACAGCAGCAAAGTGGACAGTGCACACAAGGTACATGGTAAAAACAACAAGTATTATAAATAAGTAATAAACAGTAAAGAATATCTACGAAGTAAAAAAAAGTACAAAAATCCACAACAACTAAATATAACTAAAACTAAAATAAAAATATTATATATACAGACAGCGTATTTATTTATTTTTTACTAGCTAAATATTGTACTTTTTACTTCACTATATTTGTCTGACAGCTTTAGTTACTTTTCAGATTACAGTTTGCGACGCCCTTCCTGTCCAGTGAAAACCACGTATCTCCAAATGTATGTCCCCAAACTGAAGGATGAAGCGACGCTACAAACATACGATGGTCTTATAGAATATGATGCCTTAGTGTAGAGTAAGCCAGCCAACAGGACATAAAGGAGTTCAAGTGCAACATACACATTAATACAGCAGTAATTCTAATCCAGAAACATCATTTTCCTGTGATCTGGGAACTTTGTCTCCGTCGTGTAATGTAATAGTCAGACTTCAGATGTAACTGCCACTGAATATTTTCCCATGTCTACTTAATGCACAATTTAAAAATAAGGTTTGGGGTTTCGTCTGCTTCTTACTGTCAGTTTACAGTGTCTCAGTTGCCGTTTATTGTGGCGAGCGTGTGGTGCAGGTTTAACAGCACGTGTTTGCTATGAGGTTTTATGAGGCACATCAGGGGAGGCGAACAATTACCCCCACAGCAGGAGTCCTTATAACCCACTACCAAACGTGATTAAACAAATTTGTTATTGCCGCAGGGCTCGATGGCGATAAAAGTTTGCATGGGTGTGTATGTGTGTGACTCAGCACTGTTTACAGTTTGTTTTTGTGTCATTCATTATTCTGCTCTCTGATCCAAACAGGCCAAATTAATTAGAAACAATACAAAACACAATCTTCTCATTTTAGAGTTGTTTGGAGTGATTGCTCCGTGGGTTTGTTGCCAGGTCTCAGTGATTTTGAATGCAAACACAATATTGTTGTCAGACAGCAGTGATGAAAGTGTATTGTCAGCCTGCTTGTCAGTCATCCGTGACCTTATAAAAAGGCTGTTTTGGGGAAAATGCAGACATCTGGTCCACAAATGTCTCGTTCCATGCAAGGCCCGAACTGAGAAGAACATAAAATATAATTATTAGATACCACAACAAACGGTCCGCACAGGACGCAAGAATGTTGCAGTATAAAATCGGCTTTCTTCAGTGTCATTTTTAGTTTATTTGTAGAAAGATAAAAACACAAGAAGAGACGTTCTCAGTGCACGCAAGATCCAAACACAACTACTGAGGGTAAATTAGAGTGCTGCAGGGATAATTGTGTAGGCCAACCAGGAAGTTAGCGTCTCACTGGTTCCCACGACAAAAAGCCAATAGGATTGTTGCTTTATGATGCTTACACATTGTGTTCAGCGAGATAATCTTCAGAATTGAAAACCACTTTTTTTTGATTTTTGAAGAGTTCTAAGCTGAAGGAGGTCTCATGTTCTAGTGATGACGTTTAGTCGTCTCGTTTAGCCACTTGCTAGCAATGACCTTTTTTGAGACACAGAAAAGCTTGAAAATACATGGGAGGGGTATTTACTGAAAAACTAAAAATCTCTTCAGCTCGTGTTAACCCCAGACCTTTATTTCAGGCATCTAACCAAAAATATATTCAAAAAACACAATTACTTTGAGATAAGGGAAAAGAAAATGCTAATTTTCTGTGTTTTCGTAATATATTATGCAGCTAAATCACTCTGAAACAGAAGAAAAACACAGATGGAGGACAAATTACATCAAATAAAGCGAATAGAAATGAGCAAAAAAAAAAAACAATGGAGACAGTGTTGAAAACAAAGACGAGCCTTTTCCCCTCGCCTTCTTTTCTTGCGCAGCATGAGAATCAACTTGCCCTGCTGAATCATTTTGCCCTGAGCTGTCGAGAGCGCTGGGCTTCAGAGGTAAAACTATCTGCTAGACAGGAGAGGGAAAAAAGGAGGCAAAGGTTTTTTCGACCGGCGTCCATAATGATAATCTGTCTCTCAGCGGGTCTGGAGGAGGTCTGGAGGAGGTCTGGAGGAGGTCTGCCTGCGCCGCGAGCCCATTTGTTGGCTGCAGCTCTGCAAGTCTGCTGCCAGATGTTGGGAGCATTGCGTGTGATCGCAGGTCCCCGGTGGTGCTCTCGCCTCTGCTTGTGCACACACACTCACATCACACACCTGCATGTTAAAGTGGAGGCATTCACATGTGGATTATGCACACACATGCATGCACACTCCCTCTCACTTCCATTCACACACACACACACACACACACACACACACACTTCCTCCCTCCCTCCCCACCTGCAGATGTGCTCCTCTGCGGTCTCGTCATGTGCGGCTCCTCTGCGGCCATGTGTCCCAGTTACGACTGGAGTCACTTGGTCAATGAGCGCCTTCAAGCTAAAGCTAACCAGCAGGTCTGACATGCCGCTGAAGTCGCACTCGTGACCTGTTTGCTAACCCCGTCCCTCACTAATTTGTTCCATGTTTGACAGACCCATTAAGAGGTTATTACATGTTTCCAGCCCAGTTAGAAATAGAGGCATGTCACTGACTGTTTGCTTAGTGCTTACCATTTGTTTTGTCACAACTGGTTATAAAATGTAATCCATCCTTTTACAACTTTTGGAAATTGTAATTTTGTAATTTTAGTTTTTGTTTTTGCCACCGAAAAAAAACGAATGAAAAAAGTAAAGCATGTGGCTTCTTGTGCATGAAAAGTTGCTGATTTATAATGAAAAACATCGAATGCACATTGGGCAGCCATATTGCTGCAGTATGTGTTAAAAGTTGGCAATACAGGAAAAATCTTATATTTTGATTCATATTATGATTATTTTTGATAAAGAGCAACTTATTAATAACACTTAAGTCACTTAAAGGTTCTAAATGTAATATTCAGAGCAGATCTTTGATTGAGAGGATTGCCTCCCCACCGCACTCAACTTGGCAACTGCTGAGCCGGCGGCTAGCAGCTAATGTTGCTCAAAGTGCAAACAGCGGCAACGGTGCTGACAGAGCTGACAGAGCTGCATGCTAACATGATTTAAAAGGCGCGGGCGGGCGGCTGTGTCAACAAAGCAAGGAGCAGCTCAGATTCCAACAGACACAGAGGGAGAACGACTTCATTCTCTGCTCAGGTAGACATAACTCCACTATTATAGTGGTTTGCAGTGGCGGGCCGTGCATTTTATACCTGGGCCTTCTGTGCTGTCCTACTACACTTGAGCCAGCTCCTAATGAGCTCATTATGCAAGCTACGGTTATTTGTTTCTAGGGGTGTAATAATACACGTATTCGTATTAAACCGTTCGGTACGAGGCTTACGAACCGAACAGTACGTTTGAATTATACTAGTGCATTTGGAAATATAACGTTTTCGGTGGACTGCGCTCACGTAACAGACAACGGGCTGTGTGACCTTTTGAACCCGGAACAATAACAAAAAACAGCTGAGGCCCCGCACGTGTCTTCAGGGAGGCTAAGCTAAACTAGCTTAGCGGGGGAACAACAGCGGCACACAATCTACGAACTCTCCCCGCAGCGTTTAGCTGTTCCCTACTGATTCAGTCAGGGCTAAAGCAATCGCCACATAATCCCCATTTCTCCTGACCATCATTCTTGCTTTGTAAAAAGAAAACACCAGCCCCAACGGATTCAACTGTCCGGACAATAACCCCGCGCATGACGGGATGCTTCGTAATTAACGGACAATGCATATAGTCCAAATCAATGTAATTAACACAATGACAAGAACAAACTCACAAGAACCAGTCACATATATTTATATGACAACAAAGCAACAAATCAATCCAGCAATGCTGCAGCGCTAGAGCACGAGCCGTTCATATTGTTCATAAAAACAACACGATAGACAAATGAACACAGTAGTAGCGCTACTGCAGATGTAAAAAAAACAAAAGCAGTTGACTTACCAAAGCTGCTGTTCAAGTCCATCCTCCTTTCTTTGTTAACAAAGTCAGTAACTCCCAAATCTATTTCTCCTCCTCCATCAGCCATTGAGTGTTAAAAAAAAAAAACCAAGCAAAAAAAAAAAAAAAGAATCTACACTAAGCAAAACGCAAAAAATGTATTTTAACCTTTTAATTTAAGGTACTTATAGCAACAAAGTGAAGAAAAATAATTACTATTAATAAAAAAACTTTCCACAGCCATGGTTATTACCACAGGTTATCTGGTTTCAGCAAACATCACGACAATCCAGTTTCATGGTGTGGTTTGTTAGCGCTGGTGTCCAAAGCAACCAATGAGATCATTTCTTCCTCCGGCGCAGATCTGCTCAGACAAATGTTTGTGATCTCCAATCTGCCAAAGTGTTGCGGCTTCAGACCAGTTGCTTCAGATCAGTACAGCGAAACAAACATCATGGATCACAAGACATGAAAGTGCTGCAGCCTTTCAGCTCGTCTGCCAAGGCAAATAGTCAAGCTCAACACAACCCACAAAAAGCAACAGTGGACTTGAAACTCATTTGTTTTCACAGTTTGCAACAGTGCTGAATCATGATTCTGTGTGTGTATGTGTGTGTGTGTGTGTGTGTGTGTGTGTGTGTGTGTGTAGGCCACTCCTTTCTTTGTAGGGCTGATGGTGCTGGAGATGGTGGTGGGCCTGCTGAAGACAGGATCCCCAGTGGTCACCGTCAGTGACGTACTCACCTCCGTATCTTGTGGAATGATCTCCAGAATCCCACTGTGAGTGTTGCAGGCAGCTCACAGTCAGGTCATACTGTTTGAAATGATAGGATGGTTGTGCTGCATGTCGTACGAGGACAGTAATGTGCTACGAGAGTTTCTGTTGAGGTGCCTGCACAGGCAACCTTTGCCTATGGCGTCACGGCGCTCAACCCAACATATATTTCATTCGTTTTAAGAAATATTAAACATGTTGCTGTTTATTAAAGGGCCGTTACCTCGTCCAAAATGAGGTAATGTGATGTAAGCAGCAGGAAGCAGGTGCATCAGGTGTTATTCAGTTATAGTGCCATTAATGTGGAACGCACACAATAACTAACGTCATCATTACTTGTTATTTGCTTTGATTGATTTAGATGTATATATATATATGCAGGAAATGGCTTCCTTTATCAACACCCGTGCTGAAACGCACACGACACCCGAAGGTGTCTGGTGAAGCAAGAGCACCGGGACAGTCTTAAAAACAAGTGAACTGAACAGTACAACTGTAACACGAACCGCATATTGTACTAACACGTGCACGCTGTGGACTGTCCGTCCCTCCCTCAGGCTGTTCATGAGAAGCTGTGAGCTGACTGCTTACATATTCGTGTGGAACCGGTACCGCCTGCTGGATCTGCCGTGGGACTCTGCCTGGACCTGGTGGCTCACCTTCGTGGGCGTGGACTTCTGCTACTACTGGGTCCACCGCTTAGCTCACGGTACCAGCACAAGACACTCACTCACGCTGATGTACACGACCCACAAAGAAGGACCTTCAGATGATAAGTGTTATCACTCCCTCCAGGAAACACACGACACCTTAGTTCTGCTGTTACTGATGGATTTATTCGCCTGATGTGCATCTCAAGTCAACACCACCGTCGTCAATCCACCGCCGAACTGTTGAAATACATTTCAACGTACAAAATAAGCTGGCATTCACATTACACAAAAACTGATTGCACGCAAATATGCACAACGAAACGCTAAAATAAATAAACGTCGCTGGCTGCACACAACCGAGAGGGAAATGAGCCCACTTGAAAAAACATTGATCTTCAGAAACGAGCACTTCGTTATCACTTTAAACTTAAATCTACAGAAACTTCTGCTGCTTCCAATGTCTTCTTTTAGGAGATTGCCACGACTAAATGTGTCCCCAGCACAACATAGGATGTAAACATAGTTCCTATCAGGTGTAAATCCAAACAAATCAATGTTTATGAACACAAGTTGCACAAATGATGATATGTGGTCAAGCATATTAAATAATGACATAAATGGTATTTATGGCAGTTAAAAAGTGTAGTTCATGAGAATTGTGGTAGTACTTTTGTTGGCAAGCGCTCCTTGCTGTGTGGTTTCTGCACTGCATATTATACAGAAACGGGTATGCACCTCCTTTTGTGTGTTGTGGTGAGTACTTTAAACTCATTCCAGAGTAAGAAACATTCACCTCTGTACGCTTTAAAAAGTTAGATATGACAGCTTTGAAGTTTGCTCCTTCTCGGAGCACTGTGGCTGTGGTCAGGTTGGATTCAGGGTGTTTACTATGGATTTGAACAGTGACCACTTATCTGCAGCATTATCATCTTCTCCACTGATCATACCAATACTCTTATTTCCTTCACAACATGGCTAACTAAGCATTTCATCCCATGTTTCGAAGACGGCTTCTGTACTTTTATACACATTTAAATCACAACACTGATGGTGTCCCCTTCCTTTTATTACGTGTCACTCGGATAATGCCAACGACAAACTACAAAGCCAGCTGAAGATAAATGGTTGCAAAATGTTGATTTAGTTGCCATCCCTGCAGGGAGGAGCACGCTAGATAGCACACACACACACACACACACACACACACACACACACACACACACACACACATCATGCTGTCCTGGACGTTGTGGAGGAAGCAATTATTTTTGAGTTACATGCAGCTGGTTTGAGAGCTCTGCAGATGTGAGAGGCCGTAGTCTCCAGAGGGCTGTGGTCTTAACCCGGAGCTCTCACTGCAACAAGCTGGATACAGTCAAGGCGCTAAAGCAGCGACGTCCTGCAGCATCACTGTTGAAGCAGAAATAAAAAACATATACTGGATACAGTATTTCTACAGCAGTAGCTTGATGTCTTTTTAGAAACGACTCTTCCTGTATTTTTGCTCAACTGCACGTGCCAGATGCTCGGCTGCCACACCGGAAGAGAGGTATTTATCTGTGGCCTGCACCGATGTTTATTTGTGTCAGTGGCACATCAAGCTGCCTGCAGCCTCGTCCACATGGTTTTGGCTGAAAGTCCAGAATGTGGCTTAACAGAAGCTGTGTTTGGAAACCGTCTCGCCAAGAACTGCCCGACATGATTTTGAGGTGACTGAGAACATCAGTAGAGTTTGCTTTAACATGCACTGGTGGTTCACTGCTACACTGTGATCTGTAGGCTTTAGCTTTTATCTTTACCTTTTTAACCTGTTTTTGCTGCTGAATCAGTTTTTTTGCAAATATAATGAAGGTAACCTGAAGAAGATTAATGGGGCTTTATATTCGTTTATGTACATAAGACAAAGGGAGCAAGGACATTGAAAGTATCAGTGTGGTAGCGGTGCATTGGCATGACAAATCAATACATGTAGCTGTGCACCCTTGACCCAAAGCAATTAAATCAAAAGTCTGTCTGAATCGGAAAGTGAGCTGGATGTTAACTTGTTTAGAGCTCTAATCAAAATTTTGAAGATACCGGCAATTAACAACTTTTGTAAAATAAGTTTCTTATTTCCAAAAATGTACCACAGGAGCCTTTCACATCAGGGACCCGGACCTCAATTAGGACCTCAAACATTATTATACACATATAAAGTGTATAATTTCATTTCGTTCGTTTCGTGAAAGAAACTGGGGAGGATCCGATTAACCCTCAGCGTTGGAGCCTGAATGATCACGTAAACAAAGCTCCACACATGTTTTCATGATCCAGGAAACCAGGCTAATGTGTGTGACCACGTTTATAGGGTCACCGCTGTAATGTGTGTCTGAATGAAGTGTGTGTTCCCGTCGTCGCCCTCATTGTCTGACGTTGCAGAGGAGTGACGCTCACAGTATCACATATCTGCTCGGTTTGTTTGGTCGGAATTCTTTTATTTTTGAACTGCAGAATCATTTTTACATCTAAATTTTTTTTTCCGAAATTCCACTTTCATTTCCTCTTCTGCTAGCGTTGTTATTATGGAACATTGCGGGGTCGCAGATAATTGTCTGGTGCCGAGCACCCGCAGCGCTCGCTCGGGGCCTAAGCTTTTCCGCCTTGTTACCAAAGTGAAGCGGCTCTCCCCGACCGCAGGACAGGCCCGGCGCAGCCCTCACTCGTCACTCTGGTCAGCCGAGGACATCTCGGTCAACTGCAGCAAGGTTCAACAAAACTCTTCCAGCGTGTGGGTTGGATGTTTCCTATAGCGAAGCACTGAGGAATGAGACAGCTGCAGGATGCGGGTTGAAAGTATTTTTCAGCAGTTTAATGAGTGTCAAATTGTCATGTAATGCTGCTTTTGGAGTCTTTTTTTATTGCGCTCATGTGTTGGAACGATTTTGCCGTTTCTTGCCTTAAAACTGCAGGAACACTGCATCTATAATCCTATTGTGTCAGGACATATGAGCTATAAATCTCAATATTGCGTAATAAGGGAAAGATTACAATAGAAAACTGTAAAATGAGGCAAAAGTGACATCCTCTGCTGGGAAATACGAGCCCTTATTAGCCTCAGTGCAGAATATCATTTTCAGTTTTATGGCCCTTTTTTTTCCGTAGTTTCCCTCATGACTTCCACATGAAAGGACAGCTCAAAGATAATTAAATGGAAAGTACTTTAAAAAGGCCTTCAGCCTGTGCTGATGCCATCTTTCCTGAGGAGATATTCACACTCGGCATCGCTCTTGCCAGACGCTGTGATCTTGGAGATAACGACAGATTAAAAGAAAATTGAGCTGCCTCTGTCTGCAGCCCATTTGGATGAAATTTAGGATTCTGCATTGACAGGTATGTTAGCAACCAGAAAGGTGCACTCAGTAGAGTCCAGATCTCTGCCAGGTGTGTCTGTAAAGACAACTGCTGTATTGTGTGATTGAATAAATACAACCCACAATTGGTAAACTGCCCGTCCAGACACTTATGAGCTGTAAGGTGTCGTAAAACACACTTCAGTCAAACTTAAAGACAAATGGTGTATGCAAGCAATCAGCTCGACGTTTGTGACAGCGATGTACTCAGCTGTGTGTGTGGTGGTAGCTCCGCTAGCTGTTTCCTGTTAGTCAACGAACACACCGTCCACAAGAATAGAAGTGAGCAAACTGTTTCTCCTCACCGTGAGTAGAGGTTAGCGGCGATGCACTCTGCTGAGTCATCACTAGCGGCCCCTACTGGCCTGTGGTTAAGAGTAGTGAGTGAGGAGTCAGCAGGCAGTCAATGGCAGAATAAAACGGACAATAAAAGGTGTTTAGAGAAAGTGTGAGTCACCGGAACCACGAGAGGTCCTTGTAAAGATCCATGGATTAGACATGGACAGAGACTCACTCACTCACGCACACACGCGACCGAACGCATGATCCTTCTTGCGTTGATAAAAAGCTTGTGACTGGATCCTGGTTTGTGGCTTTTGTTTCGCATTAGGTCTGCTGACAAACACGAATCGTGGTTCAAGTTGAGGCAAATCTGGCTTCTCAAATATTTGAATGACCTTTGTGCGCACACAGACTCAAATGAAGTGGTTGTTTATCTAAACTCTTGATGTCCATATTTGTTTAAAGTCATTGGTCCCAGACTTGATACGCCGCAGCTTTAGTGAGCCCTTGTTTAAGTTAATAATTATCTGTTTTGTTTTTGAAAAAAAAGAAGCTGGGAGTGTTCAGCTGCTGACAGATTGCTAGAAAGTATATCTCCCCTAACCACTGAAACAATATGACCCCTGCTACACATTTAACCGCCTTTTGTAAACACATTGGTTTAATAACCTGGTGACTGACAAGAATAGAAGACAAATTCCAATTTCGCCCACATTTTGTCCCCTGCCGTCCCCGTCAGACAGACTATATATGTTTCTATTCTGAACCAGATGATTTCTGGGTCAACAGGGGGCCGACTCGGTTCGGATGCGGCCGTGATGTTGACAGTCCTGTTGATTCTGTTTATTCTAACCTCATATCGCGAGTGCCACTAATAGCAGCTCTGCTCTCGGGCGGCATCTATATCCAGGCATGGCAGCGAGGCTGAGGCCATTAATCAGCCAGTCAGCTGTCCGTACTCTGATTATATGTGAGGTAATGGAGTTACGCTGCAGTCGTCTCACCACGCTGGCTGCTGCTGCACGGTGTTACGCTTTTATCTCTGAAACATCGGAGAATCACTTGAAAGTTACTATGCAATGTTATCATTACTTCCTTAATGTTTGGTAGTGAGGGTATTATCTTCAGTGTAAACCAATAAGCTGTTAATTATCGAGAGATAGGCAGTTTGAGCCGGCTGGACGGGCAGACATCAGCAATCGCGGGGGTCCCGACTAATCCGACCAATTGCAAGTGATAAATAATTGTGGTAATTTTGCTATTGAGGCTTTCAGGGGGTCTGAAGTGTCAATCAAGGGTATTTTGCACACTGCCCATTAGTGCAGAAAGATGACGATCATGAGAGAAACATGGAGCAATCTTTCTTCAGAAATAAAAAATGGCGG